CTAAATGATTCTATGATCCTATGATTCATCTGGATCCTTCTAGCAAGCCCAGAGCTCCACTGCCCTGGAATGAGGACAGGAGAGCAGTGGAGCAGCACTCACCCATGCTCCCGCGGCAGTCCAGGATTTTGAATCCACTCTGCATGCAGGCTGCCAGGAGCACGAAATCACAGCTGGGGTGCCACTTCAGCCTCCAAACTCCACCTTCAACGTGGGTGTCTGCCAGGGGCTGCCTCATGTTCCTGGTGTCCCACAGCAGCACGTGCTCGTCGTAGCTGGAGGCGGATCACAAACAGGCAGACAAGCATCAAAGCTGATTCAGTGCAGCAAGTAGAGAAGAACATCAGGAAATATCTGAATTGTCTGAAGAGACCACACCTGGAGCAGCAGTAGCACGTTGGAAATAACAGAGCAGGCTGGTCACACCAGTGAATCATGGAATCAGGTTGGAAAAGACCTTCAAGATGGAGTCTAACCGTGCCCCCAGCACTGCCACGTCCCCACTGACCCATGTCCCTCAGCAGCACATCTCCACAGCTCTGAAACCCCTCCAGGGGTGGGGACAGCCCAGGCTGGCCCTGAAAACCCTTGCAGCAGAGAAATGGTTCCTCAGGTCCAACCTAAACCTCCCCTGGGGCAACTTGAGGCCTTTCCTCTTGTCCTGTCACTTGTCCCTTGGGAGCAGAGCTCGACCCCCCCCTGGCTCCAGGCTCCTGTCAGGAGCTGTGCAGAGCCAGAAGGTCTCCCCTGAGCCTCCTTTGCTCCAGGCTCAGCACCCCCAGCTCCCTCAGCTGCTCCTCACCACACTTGGGCTCTAGACCCTTCCCCAGCAGCTTCGTTGCCCTTCTCTGGCCACACTCCAGCCCCTCAAGGTCCTTCTTGGAGCAAGGGTCCCAAAACTGACCCCAGGATTTGAGGTGCAGCCCAGAGCAGCCAGAAGGGACTTACCTGCCAGTAGCCAGAAGGTTCTCCCGGTGGGGACTGCACTGGATGCTGCACACTCCCATGGAGTGTCTGCAAAAGAGCAACAGACACAGAGGGAAGAGACAGCAGTGTATAGTCTGAGAGGGATTCTTCCTTCAACGTCAAGGATTTGGGGCCCACACAACTACATCAAGGCACCTTGGGAACGGAGAGCAAGGTGAACTCAGAGTTCCATCTGCACAGTTCAACAGCCTTTCCAGGGCTAAATTTCTACTCAGCACAAATATTTTCTAGTAATAGTTGTACCAGAAACTGCTGTTCAGAGACCATAAGAATTTCAGCAAGATTCCATTCCCACAAGACTGCTCCCAAAATCATTATTATTTCCACAGCAATAATCCCCAGTGTGTTTTGAGCTTCCATACAAAGCTTCACTGGAGAGTTGTGAATATTGCTTCAGTCATATTCTAAAAGATATGTCATGTCACCAGAAAAGGGAGATTACTCCAAATGAGCCAAGCACAAAAGATTTTCTAAAAAGTCTTCCAATAAGATAACCAAGTTTAACACCCACAAAAATCCCCAGAATAAAGAATCCTCCTTTTAGAAAGGAGCTACCACCATCTTCATGTGTGGAAATAAGCTGCTGGTTTATTATACTGAAGGACACAGAGATGCAAATTCAACCTGAAATTGTCTTGATGAACAAATGAAACATGTCTCCACTCCCCAGGGGAGGCAGAACCAGGACTCTGCTCTCACTGCAGGTCTCTGAGCTCAGAGGTTTGGGGACATGGTGGCTTGGGAAGGGACACAGTGGCACCATATGGTGATACCAACAGTAGACACAGCTTCCTTACCTCCTGCTGGTAAAGACTGGAGCCTCTGGACTGCACCTGGTGTCCCAGCCCTTTAGCAGGCTGTCATCTCCTCCTGCACCAAGACAAACCCTGGTTACCCTGAACACCATCCCAGCAACCAGCACGGGGCACTGAGGCACCACAGTTAACACTGAGCCCCAGCACCTCACAGCATTTAATGGACACACCAAACTCCACCTGAGGGTCACAGTCCTCATCACCACAGGAGATGTGTGTTCACAAGGAAAACAAAGTTAGAAGATAAAAAGACTGGCCTCTAGAAGCTCTCTGCTCTCTTGCATACTGCAAGGCATTGCAGGATCTTTTCTGCCAACAGCCAAAGTACATTTTAGTAGGCACATCTTCTCCTAACTCAGAAATGGTGTCCAGCAGGAGTAGGGAAGGGAATGTGACCCTGGAGGTCACACTGAGGCCACAGCTGGAGCACTGGGGTCAGCCTTCTCCTAACTCAGAAATAGTGTCCAGCAGGAGTAGGGAAGGGATCATGACCCTGGACTCACACTGGGGAGGCCACAGCTGGAGCACTGGGGTCAGTTTGGGCACCACAGGATCAGAAAGACCTTGAGGGGCTGGAGCAGGTCCAGAGAAGGGCAATGAAGCTGGGGAGGGGTCTGGGGAACATGGCTTGTGAGGAGCTGCTGAGGGACCTGGGGGTGTTTAGTCTGGAGGAGGCTGAGGGGAGACCTTCTGGCTCTCTACAACTCCCTGACAGGAGATGGAGTGAGGTGGTTCCTGGTCTCTTCTCCCAAGGAACTGGTGATAGGATGAGAGGAGATGAGCTTATGTAGCACCAGGGGAGGTTTCAACTGGGTATTAGGAAGAATTTCTTTCCTGACAAGAGTAGTGAGGCCTTGGCCCAGGCTGCCCAGGGAGGTGGTGGGAGTCTTCATCCCTAGAGGGGGCCAAAAAACACATAGATGTGGCACTTGGGGACATGGTTTAGTAGTCATGGCAGTACTGGCTTGGTGGTTGGACTTGGTGATCTTAGAGATCTCTTCCAACCTTCACGAGTCCATGATTCTAACTCCAACCACTTCCCACAGTCAGGAAGCCTTCTGCCCCTAGCAGAGGACCAGCTCTTCCAGGGGTTGTGATGGAAGCAGGGTACCCAACCCTGAGCACTAAAATCCCAAGGAACAAACACCCCTGAACAAAGTGTCCCCTCCCCAACACCTCCCAGTGAGATTCCCTTACAAACCTGAATACACAATATCAGTGTCCCAGTAATTAAAAGCAGCAATCCAGGCCTCAAATTTGTGAGCTTCCCATTGGTTCAGGACTTGCACAGAAGGAGCAGATTCATCTATGGAGAAAAGATTCAGCTTCCCCTCTGAATCACTGCTGATCACTCTCAGAGGACATCCACTACAGCAGAATACAGAGAAAACAGGAGAAATCACTGAAACTCCTGGTCTGAGAAGGTGTTGAGTGAAAGACAAGTAATGTAACCTAACACTGCATGCATTTAATTCAACTCAACATTGAGAGAAACGAGTAGCACAGTGGAGGGAACACACACTTTTACACAGTTCTTTCCAGCTTCAGCCCATCCCTTCTTAAATTATCTCTAATTATCTCCTCCAATGGTCCCCATTCTCTGATGTCACAGCAGAGGCAAACTGCTCACACACACATGGAGGGGAAAAAAAACAGCCCTGGGTCTTTCCTTCACCTAGATGCACAACATGACTTCTCACATGCTTGATATTACATCAATGAACAAATGCCACATGAAGAGGAATTGCTTTTTTCCTCCAAGCCAGACCAACAAGGGCCTGCAGCAGGACAGTCCCAGCATCTGGACACAGCATTCTTGGAGCACTGGCAGAAGTTTTGTGGCTCACAACATGCAGATTTTCTGACCTTCCTTGACACTAACTAGGTTCTTTCTCTTGGTTACCTGCAATTGTAGGGACTGATTTGGTGGCTCGGGGCTTCTTCCCAGTTCTATACCCTATGCTAGTTACTGAACTGTACTGAACCTCCCAAATTTCCACACAAGAGATACAGGGTCACTCCCTTCCTACAGAGTATCACATCAGGCTTCTAGAAGGGGTTGTTTGTGTCTCAAGTGACAAGTGACCAGCTTTAAAGGCACTCCTTTATAAGGGCAACAACCATTTATCTTGAAGGGCAGGGACAAGGGGAAGAAGGAATGTAAGGAAGAAGAAAGTAGAACTGGGGATCCTATTTATTCATTAAACAGCATGCACAGAACAGCTTCAGTCAGCAAAAGGTACTAAGTACTTGCCCTACAGCATTAAGCACACAGCTGCCTGATTCCCTGTTCCCAGCCCCACACCAAGGGCACCACCACTGCCTGCTCTGCACTGAGCTTCCAGAGAACACCCCCTCCTCCTTCACAGTCCAGCTAGTCCACCTTATTTCATGCACTGATGCCATCTCTGAAATCACATCTATGAGCATTTCAGAGAGGAAGCAGCCACTTCCAAACCAATTCTCTCCCATTTCTCACTAACCCTTGTTTAAACTTCCTACACATGCTATTTTGGTAGTTCTTAAGCAGAACTTCACGCTAAAATTTTCATCTGTTCTAAGAGCAGAGTTGGAACCAGTGGATCCATCTGCATCCCATTCTGGTTCTTCCTTCTAGCCAAGGCAGCAGAAGACGTGGCTGGCTCACCTGCTGCCATTCACCACGGCACAACCTCATAGCTGTTGGTTTAGTCTCTGCTCTGGTGCAGACCCAAGTACATGTTCTTGTTCCTTTGTTACCCCTACTCTGGAAACAGTAACTCCTAGAGAAGCTGCAGGGAAACAACTGGGACCAAGAAATTCTTAAACCACTTCACAAAAAGCCACCAAACATTCATCCAAGTGCTCAACTTCTGCCTGAAGCTGTCCCACACACACCAACCTCCAGTCTCAGCCTTCATCTCCACCCTCACCATTGCTCTCGTCCTGTGGACCAGTCCAAAGACAAGGCCAGGCGCTGTGCACCGAGATCAACCCTGAAGCATGGCTCCAGCATGCAGCTGTTCTTCTACTGGAAGGAAAAGCAGCAGGTTAAGACTGAGAAGACAGCAGGTACAGAACACCACGTGTACTGCTCACACCTACAGCAGGCATATTCCAGAGACTGACAAGCCAGTTAGGGTCCCACGCTACAGAAGAGATGGAACATCCCATAGCTGGACATCCAGCTTTCCAACAAGGGTCTGAACACTGCTCACAAATCCAGAGATGTATTAAACCTGGGTTAAACACAGCCTCCACAACGGGTGTCACAGCCACCTACCTCACTTCCAGTCAGGTGGCAAAACTCCACAGCGCCTGTCGAGTTTGCAATGCCAACCATGGGATGCTCTGCAACAGGAACGTGGCACCTAAAAGATCAAGTTAAGCAAGTCTTGAACGTCCATTTTCTTGTATTTAAGGAGGAGAATAAAGTCAAAACTTTTATTCCAGGATGCACGAGGAAAAGGGACCTGATCAAAAAAGTCTCAAGAAGAAAACCTAAGGCTCCCCAAGTTCCCATAAACCTGTAGAGAGGGGATGATATATAAGGGAAATTCACTATAATTATTAAATAAACAAAAGAGCTCCACAGTCACTGACCAGCTGCTCATAAGTGAGCAGAAGAGTGTAACACAGCAACGAGTGCAGCCTTTCCTCACTGGGGCAAACTGGAGAATACAAGAAGCCAGGGACAGTTTGGTTAGTAACTATTAGTGCTGCTGCCATACCAATAGCCAAAAAAAGGGACCCCAGGGGGCAGACCATGGTGCTGTGAGCTCCAGCCTCTCCAGGCCAGCATTACCATTTGATGTCCAGGATGGCAGCCGTGTCAATCCTCTGGATTTCGGTCAGCGGGACGCAAGGCTGCTCCTCGTTGTAGTGGTACAGGTAGAGGCGCCCCGTCCGGTCACAGGCCCCGTGGCCCCCTCGGGAGTCAGTCTACAGCACAAAATGTAAAGATGTAAAATGTTTATACCTTTCCTGTACCACTCCCCACCCTAGATGTTGCCAGGAGCAGGGCAGAGGGATCCCACTTGAGAGTGATCCCACAGATCCCTCCTTTGAGGGACTAAAGCCACCACAGCTCCCTCACCAGCAGGGCCCACTAAGCCCCACGGTGGCCACCTCAAGCCAACCCCCAAGCCTGTGGGGGGCTGACAGGACCAGGCCAGCGGTGGCCACCTCAAGCCAACCCCCAAGCGTGTGGGGGGCTGACAGAACCAGGGCTGGGGAGCAGCCAGGGTGTCGCTGAGGCCACAGATGCCAGCTGAGGTGGCCCACAAGGGTGGGAAACCACCCCCAGGTCCAGATGAGGTAGCCAAGGTGACCACCATGCCTGGCTAAGGAGGTCTGTGAAGGTCAGGAAACGACTCCTGGGTCTGGCTAAGGTGACTGAGGTGGCCAAAGGGAGCACCAGACCCAGCTGAGGGGACCCTCGGGCTCAGCTGAGGGGGCCCGTGAAGGGTGGGAAACCACCACTGGATACAGATGAGGTAGCTGAGGTGGCTGAGAGGACCATTAGGCCCAGCTGAGGGGACCCTCGGGCTCAGCTGAGGGGGCCCGTGAAGGGTGGGAAACCACCACTGGATCCAGTTGAGGTGGCTGAGAGGACCATCAGGCCCAGCTGAAGTGGCCGAGGGGACCCTCTGACCTGGCTGAGGCAGCCCACGAAGGGCTGGGAACCATCCCCGGGTCTGGTTAAGGTGGCCGAGGTGGCCAAAGGGACCCCCGGTCCCGGCTGAGGGGGTCATTGGGAAGCCCAGTCCCAGCTGAGTGGGCTGAAGGGACCCTGGGGCCCGGCTGAAGTAGCCGAGGTGGCCG